ATCAGAAGGCCAGCTGCCTAGAGAAGAAACTACGCGCTGTCATGGGCGGCAATCCAAGTAATAATCGTTCCCAACGTAACCCTTTTATTAGATTAATACGCAATAGTATTGGTGGTGGTGATAGTATACGTATTAAATTGCTTGACATGGATAGCGATGGCCAGTTCTCATTATCGCCTTCGGGCGAAGACACTTCGCCGTGCACATCATCGGGCTCCGTGACACCGTCCTCCTCCTTGTCCAGCGATGAGGAGACGTCCGTACCCGCAGCCGATGTGCGATCGGCGTTGACGGTGRACGGTGCTGATGTTGATGAGAATGTAGTGCGTCGGCGACGYAAGCRACGACTTCAACACCGTCATCGTGCGCTTACGGCGGAGYATGCTTGTCAACATCAGCAACGAACGTCACGCGGCCGTCCACGCTCACAATCATGTATTGTCGATGCGAATGAGAATCATAGAAATCATGCGCATCCGCAACAGTCGCACAATAGATTTATAAGTAGCCGAAATTTCGCAAACGCTTTTGCGCCGTTCAATTTTATATTCTCCTCCTCCTCCAACACGAACACAACTACAACCAGAGCTTCCTCAAATCATTCCTCCTGTGATAATCTGCCAAAGGTGCACTTACACTTGCCATGTGATGCTGAGGGCGACATTGACGAYGACACGCGGCGCATCCGTTGCCGAACCGAGGAGCCGCCTAGCGGCCGAAGACAATCGCGAAGCCGCTGCCAGTGCCATTGTCGCGCTGGTGGCGACTGCGGTGGTGGTAAACAATAATTTTTGCATTACGCATTACGCCTTACGTCTTAACGCCTGTAGTTACTCTTACAAACACAGTTACAATTATAATTACTGCTTAACCACTACTACAAGCGGCAAAATATATACTGCAACAAAAAAGGAAAAACTTGAAAGCAAAGCAGCACATAAATGTGAAATTGCCACAGGCATGCGCGCAATGCTTGCTCGCTTACAACAACTACTATGTTAACGCGCTGGAGCGAACTTTGCAGTTTTTTTTTTATTATTTAAGTGCATTAATGGGCTGTTACTTGCAACGCTGCGGATGTTGTGCTGACATTTAGCTGTTTGGAAGTTCACCGCGTTCACTGTCCACATTTCACTCGCATTTGACTCGCTTAGCTTGAACGCTTCTCCATGCGCACGCGAGTTGTAAAGCAAACTCTGCTCGGCAAAGCAAATTTGAATAACCGCTACTTGCTTGCTTCTGCCGCTGTTGTGCTTATGCAAACTGTAATTAACACACTGTTCGTGTCCATTTACCTTTGTCGTTGTAAAAGGCATTAATCGCTCGTGCGAGCGTTGGCAGCGCTGCTAATGCTCTAACATTTTAATCGCAACTCATACTCGTATTCTAACTGTTCTTAACACAATCCATAACTTGTAAACATTCGTACAATTATTTGACCTAGCGAAGCTTGTTGGTTTGCGAAATGCCGCGCCACTTGTGTGCAGGCAAGAAGAGTTGACAAATTTAAAATTATCCAAAGACTTGAATTGGCCGAAGTAATACAAATGAATCGAATTACTGCACACCAGTGCGCGCGTCAGCGAAATTTTTACACATACCCATATTTGATTCGTAATTAGCTACTCACCACATACTAAACTCACCTCTTGGATTCAGATTTTTACGCTGCGCAAATTGCGAAARCCCCATTAGCGCTACCGAATCAGGGAAATCGTTTAAATCTGAGTCCTTTTTGTAAATTTGTAAATTTTATCAATAGCTGCGTTGCATTAGTCCACTAATATATATGTTAGCATAAGTTTAATTCCTTTTTGTAGTTGTTTAAATGTTGACTTAAAATCTTAATGATTCGATAATGTAATAGCCATGCTAATCTAGTGGTCATATAATAATGTTTCTCCCAAACTTCTCGCACAGAAACCGATGAGACGGAGGAGCAACTGCTGTCGCAGTGGTTTACGCTGGTTAACAAGAAAAACGCGCTGCTGCGCCGCCAAATGCAGCTCAATATACTGTAAGTTTGTGCGCAGCACTTTGGAAAGTAGTAATTCTACGGTCGCAAGACCTTTGTTGATGTAGTGTTAGGCAAAGTTTTCAAGTGTAGCCTCTGAATTTTTCACATTTTTTTTCGCAGTGAGCAAGAAAGTGATTTGGAGCGCAAATACACGCTTTTGAATCAAGAGCTGCGGGCCGCGCAGTCTGTAGAAGATTGGCGAAAGACGGAAGCGCAGCGTGAAAAGGAACGGCTACTGCTCGAGGAGCTGGTTTCTATTGTGGACAAACGTGATGAGCTGGTGCAACATTTGCATAGTCAGGAAATTGCGTAAGTTAACGTTAATAATCACGTAGTGGATAAGCGAATTTGACGAGTTGTGTTCTCCGACATTKCCACCTTTCAGTATCGAGGATGACCACGAAATCGCACGCGAACTGGAGCAAGTGGACATCAGTGGCGACAAAGACAAATGCATACTGCAATAAGAGCACCTCGGCACTGCTGCTGCACCGTGCAAAGTGTCAAAGATGTGTGAGTCGCATGGCTGAGCACGTGCGAACAATGGAAAACAAGTGAAACGACACAGAAAAAGTGAAATTAAATGTAGTTAGTGTTTGATAATTTGGCGCATACGTTCAATATGCAACTGACGTATTCATTTTCTACAACAACAGCGACTATTAAGGAAACGTTCGCTTTACCTATAACCTATTGCTTATGAATTTATGTATTTACTTACATATATATCGTATGTATGTATGTTAGTTGGAATATGTGCGTAAAGCAAAGTGAACTATTTTAATTGCTAAATTAAAGTGGCGGTGTGAACGCGTTTGTGCAAAAAATAATTGAATACTTAAAATGGGAAATAGACAAACTTAATTGCCAGCAATTGCAAATATTCAGCGCTAAATTATGTTCATTTGTATGGTTGAATGTGTGACCTACAAAGCACAATTTGTTCTTATGCATACCCTCGCTTGCAGACAACAAAATATTCAACGATGACAATTACGAAATACGGATTCGATCAGTGTAATATTCTGTCTAAAAGTAAACATAAAAAATATATAATCAAAGAAAATTAACTAAATACTTAATACGAGTTGCATAACGACAAATTACGAGGCCAGCCTAAAGCACAGAACCGTTTCTCGAACACGTTTCATGTAAGCCAAATAATTTCCTCTCTACTATCGCTGGAGAATATTTCATCTCATTCGCTGTCCGTCAAAAACGAAACCTTTACTTTGAGCAATTTATTTCCATGGCGAATGTGTCAAAAGAACAATGTCAAATGCAACTCAAATACAAATTTGAAAAACGTCCGTTAGTTTTGTAAGCAGCAACTGAAACAAAAAATTTAAACACAAGAAGATATACCGAATAGTGAATATAAACCGTTAACCGTTAACTATGATTTTTTACACAGCTTTCGTTTGACAAGTGCTTTTTGTGCCATTGTTCYGTTTAACTGACTCATTTTAACAGTTTAGCGATACTCATTTTCACACCGCTRTACTTGTATTCATTTACAAAGTGTTTATTACAATACTTCAACAACATTTCACACGTGATGTTTTGGTTTGAGCGCCTCATTCGGTTGGCGAACTTCATGGCTTCAACATAAATTAGCTTTATCAATTACTTTAGTTGAGTTATGTGTGTGTGCGTGTGTGTGTTTCGGAACGCACCATTGTAAACTATTTTTAATAAAATTAATATTTCTAAGTTGTAATTATGTTTTAAATAATGAAAATACAATGAAATTAGTTAATAATTTGACTAGTGTGATCCTAACTGTAAACTGTACCTACCTATTTATTATTAAACAAGCAAAATAAAATGTAGTTTATACATATATGTATGTGTATATTTAGTTATGTTGCAACACTTCTAGTTTATTTTTACTATAATTTAATTATTGCGTTGAGTTTTTTTTTTTTTTTTTTTTTGTCTTAAGCAAATGGTGACTACTCAGTTTTACTACACTCCCCCAATGCCGCTAGTTTGCTTTTACTGAGTTTCTTTGGTTTCATAAGAAACTGAAGCGAAGGCTGTCTTGTGTTGGCGTCGAAACTTAACATGGGTACTTAGGCAATTAACATTTATAATATTGAACTAGAAATTACCCTACGAGCAGAAATTGTATTACATATATAAGTCAAATAATATATATAATATAAACATACAAAGATAAATATATACATGTAATATAATCAACTAAAGGATATATGTATATGAATAAATATGAATGAAATGAATATGGAAAACCGCATTTTTTATTTATGAATATGAGCGAAAGATCAGCGAAGGTGAGGTGAGGTTGGATGGAATGTTGTAATTTGTCTATTGTTTTTGTTGTAGCRACAGAAGACAATACTGAAGTAATTTCGACCGGACAAACTTAGACCCGACTGATGTGGGAACGTAGTAATTTATGTGTTGATGYAGGGCAAAAAAAATTCCTGAACAATTTTCGAGGAGATGAAAGTCCTTTCTATGCAGAAATTTCTACCGGATAAAAATCCGGGTCCGTTCCGTTTACTTAGGCYCGACTGTCTAGACTGGAGCGGTTAGATTTATCTCTTGTAACGGCTCCAAAAATTCCTGAAGTAATTTCGAGRAATGGTGTCGAGGTGAAAGTCCTTGGAATGATAAAACTCTGGGTTCGTTCCGTATACTTAGACCCGACTGCCATGGTACCGCAGTAATATATCTATCCTTTTTTGTGGAGCATAATTCGTGGGAGAAATACATTTTATTTCATGCCTTTTCATGTATAAAAAACGAACTATATGCGAAGGCGATACTCAGCAATAAAAAAGAAATATATGGTGCTTGTTAACAATTATCTCTCTATTAAAAGAAAGAGGTTAATACTATAAATGTTTATCGTTTATTTATCATATATTCATCTATTTTTAGTACTAAAGAAATGATATAAAAACTTAAAAATTATTATTATTWTTCTAATTATATACATTATGTGTATTATAGCTACATTTTGTTAATAATTTTTTGTTACAAACGGTATACGCACTTCATAATTCCTTAAGTGTTATGCACCTTTAATAGTAATATTAATTGATAAATATTAATTCAGGAAAATCTTAAATTATCTATGCTACATATATAGGTGTTGATATGTATGTGTAAGCACACGAGTTTCCTATCACTTGGATTACAATTACTCTGCATGTATTGGTATGTAGACGGTTTAGCGATTTAAGCTTTTTAAGTGCACTTTTCAGAGGGTTTTCAGCACCACTTTGGTTAATGAAGTGAAATGTGGTCTTTGTAAGTATTTCAATTGTGATCTGATGCCTAAGTGTCAAATGGAAGATAGATACTGCTTACTCTGTGACTTTCTTTCAACAGCAAATGCAATATGTGAGTAAATATGATTTAAACACTACATTCTTCGATGCTGAGTACTTGAGAGTCAAGCTGAATGAATTCAATTGTTAAGGCACGAATTTTCGAGGTTTTTTATATTGTCACTTCTCTCTCGCCGAAGTAAAGGATTCTGTGCAGTTACTACTTGATATCTGTAGTCTTTGTGCGTTACCAATTTTCAACGACGGAAGCGTCCTTCGGAAGAWTTTATCTTTGCTAGCACTTCTCAGCGTTTTGGAAGTTTTTTGGAAGTCTTTAGTATTATTAAAATGCAAACTAAAATCTATGTTTCACAAAATTACACCTTTAAGCCCCWTACAAAGTATTTTTTCCTCGATTTAGTTTCAAATATCAATAATGTATCTTTAAGCGGCGCTCTCTGTCGTGGTGGTCACCGCCGTAGGATGAGCTGCCGTTCGCGCCGCTGTTGCTGCCGCTGCGGCTGCTGCCTCTGCTTGGCGACGCTCCTCCTCCATTTCCAGACGCTCAACCTTCCTGATTTTATTGAGCTTTCCTGTGTGAATGCACATGTATAAATAATAAGAGTTAATCAAAGTGATTCAAGTATTAGCAATACTCACTTGCACATTTCAGCATGATCRTGCCCCACCAAATGGACCAGCCCCAGCCGACAAAACAGAAGAGCACGCAAAAGAGTTGCGCCATGCCAACGATTATGTTGATTATGAAAGAACCAAAGCGCGCCTTTGCGCTGTCGTATTGCGAAAAGCGTGGGATGCCAACGCAAAGGCAAAAAATGCCCGAAAATAAGGTGCCTGTAAGAGAAACGAGAGAGGAAGAGAGTAGAAAATACTCGTAAGTGCATGCACTCGTTAAGATGCACTTCACCTAGTCCTGGAAAGATGGTGTTACAAATAGCGCAAAACCAGGCTAAATAGAGCGGCATTACCGGTATGGCGCCTTTCATTTTCGAGCTATACTCCACTAGGTCCACATGTAGCTTGCGTCGAGTGTCCTGCRAAGTTGTGCAATTCAAAACAATTTAATTCATTTCAAAGGGGCACAAACTCACCTCACTTGGCGGTGGTGGCGCCTTCATGCTTGCGCGCCGACTCTCGCTTGGCTTCGGCAACTTTTTGCGTTGACARCACAGCAGTTTGCTCCAAAAGCGTTTGCAACAACCCCTGGAAGAGGAATAATTTTTGCAAACAACACCAAAATTATTGAATAMATGACTCACTGTGGTCGCACTACTTCTGGCGAAGTGGCACCTTCCAAAACAGATGCATCACTAGCTGCAATACCACTYTCCGGATCTTGCCAGGCCACCGAGCCAGTCGGTGAAACCGTCGAGGCTATGGTAGCGCCCCGTCCAGCTTTCTTGCGTCGACAAGGTATGCAAAAACAACACTTTTTCAATTCYGTTTCATCACCAGTTGTGGGATCGACCTTGTTAACACGTCGACAACAAAATAGTTTACTCCAGCAGGCGCCACAGCCGCCTTGTTTGGGTGTAATGGGTGTGGTTGCTGCCACTGCAGACTCCGCTTTGGTTGCCAGTGTCATTTTTGAGCGCTCATCCGTGTGAATGGCATCCACCTTCGGTTGCTTACGACAACGTTTGCAGCAGTTCAATTTTTGCCAACAGCTCGTTTTGRTTTTGTCGCCGTCCGTTGGAYGTCGCGCTTCATCGATGACTTCGAGGTTGGTSGTGGAGGCGCTGCTGGTCGCAGAGAGCACCGGCTCCTCGCTTTCATCGCCGGCCAGGCTCTTTTTGCGACGACAGCAACGGGAGCAACGTAGGCGCCGACATGGAAGACAGAACTTCGTGCAGCAGCGGCAACAACCAGACKKYGGCGCTAAGTCGTCTTCTTGCTCCTTCAGAAACTCTCGGCTGCCGTTGCTGAAAATACAGTAGAGCAAGGAAGAAATGATGAGCGGAGAGTGCATTAGCTTTCAGCAAATGCGAAGATGTGTGTAATTGGAAATTAWATGAAGATCCTTTGAATAAAGCAATATTAATTGACACTGGGAACAACGAAACTGCTGAAAGTCAATATACCATATACCATACATTGAGTACAAGAAGAAGCACAGTACAGATGCCTTTCGCGTATACACGYSAAACATGCACGCCAATCTGCCCAGTGAGCGGCATTGGTGTAGAAAACAATGGTAATATACAAGAAAACTTCGACGTGCCTATAAGTGATTATCGCGACAGGTGCGGTTAATGGACGACTTCCGCTGCTGCCAATCGGCCCACAAGATAGGCATTTCATTCGGCAGTGACCTGCAAGCAGTCAGMGACTGCAAAGGCGTAGCGGTAGTGCTTCTTAGTGGYAGCACGGCATTGCCGCTTCGAGGATGGTGAGTGTGGTATTTATTGATTGCAGACAGCCCTTCGTAGTCTCGTCAAAATGCATATGCAAATTAGGGTCATCAGGCCTTCAATCTCATATACTAGTATGAATGGAACTGTGTATATGTTTGTTACAAAGGAGCATTTGTCATACACACACACACACACGCATTCGTGACTCAAGCCAAATTAAGGCAATGTGAGGGCCATATTGGCGACTCATAAAATGTTTGTACATCCGCTTCCGCTGCAGCGTCGTAAGTGCTGACATTTCCTTCAATATAATTACAATGTCCATTTGAGTGACCTTATAGACGAAATACCCACACACACACATACCAATGTAAAGGCTGACAATAACTCAAACACATGTGTGGCAAATAAAGAAGTTGGTAATAAACCAACAAAAGTTTTGCTGCTGCTCTTCGTATGGCATAATCATGCCAGAGTATTTATGTAAGCAAAATATGTTTAAAATTTCCAAAGCCAATAATCTGCTTTCCTTAAAAATATAAGTTGTATTGCCTTCAGGCATTCCTTGTGCTCATGCTTGTACGGTTACCTTTCTGGTATTTTGTTAGTTACTTTTCATATAAAAATCTGAAAGTAATGAAAAACTCTGTAATATCTTAGTATTTTAAAAACTCTCCATTAGATTTTTCTTTTAAGAAAAATGGAAGTAACTAATTTGGCTCGTTGTTCAAAAACAAAAAGGCACTGCGTATGAGTAACATTTTACCATTTAAATTGAAAGCAACAATTTATTGTTAGTAGCCCCTCATAGGTGAATTATGTAGAGATTTTTTAAATTATTCACGAAATAAGAAAAAACGTTTACTTCGGTTGCACCGAATCTAGAATACCCTTCAGAAATAAAAAAAAGAAGTATTTCTATATACGAAATTTATTTTGATATTTYMAAAATATTTAAGTTCCCTCACACACAGCCAAAACAACTCAACCATTACAAAAAGTATTCTGAATACCAGCTGATTTTATCACACCGCACACCAACTACACTTGAGATCATTCACCCACTCCACTCCCACCCCACACTCACAATTGCTTTATTCCTAATCAGAATCACGARCTTGTTGGCCAAAACCGAACACTCTTCTCAAATGCGAGCGGATATGGATGGACAGCACGCACTTTTCGTTCAGCGGGTGAAGGCCAGTTGCGGTTAAAGCGCTTAAGGCAGCGTTCCAGTTACGTCAGTGGATTGCCGCAAAATGTTTCAAATACAAACTAACTCAGTTACCGAATCAGAATTTCGCACTTCTTTGTTTTTGGTTTCACACGCATTTTCCAAACAACAAAAAAGCGAACTTTGAAAATGTGTGCGACCACCGCACGAGCCAACGACCAAATACGCTTTGGCTGAGCCCAAAAATCAGCTCACCAAAAGTAAGCCGAAAATTATGCTCAGGCAGGCGCTGCCAAGCGAAACAACGACATGCGAACGTGCGAAAAGTTACTGAAATTTGTGGTGGAATTTAAAAGGCTTTGACAAGGTCAATAGCAGCACGCCGCAACGACACCTGCACACACACAGATACACGCACACCTTTCAGACACTCACTGGGCTTTTGGTGCGACACTTAAATCGGTTGGGAAATTGTTCACAACAAGCATTGCTGAATGAAACGCGAGTCATGGCCGGTTAACTGCCTTTTAATTGCAAAACTCCGTAATTGTATGCAGCGGACGGAGACATGATTATGAACTGACGACGGTGGAGTTCAGTTACGCGTGCCAAATGTTTTAGGAGAAATGAAAAAGCGTAGAAGGGGTTGGTTCAATTTTGAATAATAATAAGTAGAATATACAAGTATTTGCATCGATCTTAAGCGCCAATTTACGAATTGCGAAGTATTTGGAAAAGTAAAACATTAAAATATCTGCCGAAATCGCCTGAGTTTTTTGATATAAAAGGTTAAGATGAATTAAGAAAATGATATGTTATGTATATTTAACAGAAGTGCCCAAATTTAAAAGTTTTGAACTTGGTGTAAATAGAGGGATATTCGGAAATCCAACCACACCCCATTTCAACACCCTTACTTAGGAGAAAATATTATTTTGACGATTTYCTCCTCAAAAACCGGTGATTTTGGACATTATTTTATTTTTCAAAATTTCTGGGTTAACTCCAATTTAAATTTCTTTAACAGAAATATGTCCCTGCGATTCTACAAATTTCTGCATTTTTACATTTTCTCCAGTAGTTTAGAAGTTATAAGCATTTTTGTATTCGGTGGCTGCTTGCTACATGTTCCTGGTCGCCTGGTAGGAATCTAGGATTTTAGAATCAAATTGAATGCAATTTTTCTGCAGGGGCGGCGAATGCACTACAAGTTTACGTATATGCAAAGGGGCCAAATTGGGAAACGCATGCGGGCAAACACAATGCATACACAAAGGGGCGAAATTGGAAATACGGAAGTGGGTATACATAATGTCCGGAAACGGGAGCAGGACCTCAACCGAAAGTGGACTTACGGTACCGCTCTTCCGATCTAGGTACTAAACCGGAAGTGACAAACCGGAAACGGAAGTTACCGACCAGAGTGAACTAACTGTAACACACTTCCGGTCCGGACTGTAAAGCGGAAGTGTCAAAATCGGAAACTGATGTTTTCGACCAGAAGTGTCAAAACTCAACAGGACTATTGGTCTGGTTTCCGGAAATATATGACAGTTTTATTCCAGGCAACTTCCGTTACCGGTTTAATATTCATACGAATGTGTTACCGTTATATAACTTCCGATCTAGAACATCCATTTGCGGTATGCCACTTCCGGTTTAGTATCTAGACCGGAAGTTCGATACCGTTATTCCATTTCTGTCGATTGCATTTTCCTATTTCCGAGCACTGCATATGGCAACATCCGTGTTCGCCATTTCGCCCCTTTGCGTATGTTACATACTCATCAAGCAAGTGCATCTGCCGCTGCTGCAGAGAAATTGCATCCATTTTGGAAAATGYTTATAACTTCTAAACTACTGGTCGTAGAGAAAATGTAAAAATACAGAAATTTGTAGAATCGCATGGGACATATTTCTGTAAAAGAAATTTTTAACCCAGAAATTTAGAAAAATAAAATTGTGTCAAGAATCACCGGTTTTTGAGGAGAAAATCGTCAAAATGATTTTTTGTCCTAAGTGAGGGGGTGGAAGGATTTCCGAGTATCGCTMTATTTATTCAAAGTCCAAAGCTTTTAAATTCGAACACTTAGTCCATAAATGAATATATAATATCCAACTTTTCGTTTGATTATTCTTTTTGACAATTAGGCAGCCCAGCCTTGATTACCGTCTACTTTTTGTTGAAATCAGAAATCTCAGGACCCGATAAACCGATTTCGACAAAATTTAGTACGTGGCATTCTTCCCACTGTCTTATGTCACAGTGTGAAGATGAACATCAACCCTATCTTGCCTACTYTCCATATAGCACAATTTTAAAATCTGCTTGATTCTTTCACTTTCCAGCACACAAATCAAGAAGCTATTAATATAATGGAAGTAAACTTTGCACGAATTAAGTCTTTATTAGTGTATGCCACCTTATAACCAAAAATTGTCCTTTCCCAAACAAAACTGTTCAAGCTCCTAGGGACTGAATATGTGATCCACAGTATCTCTAGTTGACTACTGACCGAAAATATCGGTCAWTGTATGAGATATACAAGTATAACTAAAATTCAGACAGAATCCATATTCTGTGTTTCCAAAATGGATTGAATTGGTGATTGTATGTGAGGTAGCTCAATGAATTCGGGTTGCACCCGACTTAGCCCTTTACTAAATWCATTTTTTTTTKTTCGTTTGTTAAGCTTAACTTTTTAAATTACCATCGTTCATTTCTCATTATATTTAATTATACCTTTCTACTGTAACTTTAACTAAAAAGCATTCACTTAAGCCAGTGCATTCTCATGCAACTTTCAGAAGAAGTTCGAAAATACCTTCACAATCCATTAAATGTCATTAAATTATCAATTCCGCTTATTAAACAAATACCTGAAAAAGTATTTCTCMACGTCGGCAAAGTCCTGCGGCAGGTCAATGTGGTAGATTGCCGAATTCTTKCGTTTGCMCTTTTTYTGAATCATCGTGAGGCAATTGGGGCACTTGTAATTGGCTTAGACTTTTTGGGTTTTCCAGTCAAAMTCACGATTTCACTTAGCACGACACTGTGTCCGCAAGTACTTACGACCGCGTTTACGTTAATTATTTGAGGTAAGCACTCGCGGCTTTCTGGCTGCTATTGTTGCGTGAGCAATGCACGGGTTCGGTACACTGAATTTTCCGATTAGGAATTTCAGAAAACTTTCAATCGAGCAGTCGGCGCGCGCCTTCACTGCTGGGAATGCAGCGATGAATTGAATTTCAAAATGCAGTTGGCCCAATTTAATTTCATGCCACAAGCACATACGGTCGCGCGGTCGCCAGCGGTGAGTGTGTGTTTGTGTTTGTGTATGTGTGTGTTGTTGTTGTTGAACGGCAGTTGTGTGGTGTGACGTGTCGCGTTCGCCTCGATTGTCCAGCCTAAACTGATTTCATAGCTCGGCCGGCCAAGCTTACGGAGCAGCGCAAGAAACTTTCAAATCAATTCAACTTAATTCGCAATGGCTTCACCACAGCTGCCCCTTCCTCCCCGCTGCTTCTCGCGCACACATTTCGTGTACAATACGACAACAATAACATGTATTTATTCAGCTACTACATACATTTACATATCACCAAAAGTACCACTTAATTGCTGTTGCTGTTATTTTTGTTATTATATATTTGTAGCGCCATTGTTTGGCGYTGAATAAACAYGAAGGACGAAATGGCATGCCGTGGAACGGATATCCTTAGTGAAGTACCGGCTTCAGCGCACTAGCAGTCCAAAGGGAGGTAGGCTAGGAGGGGCGGGTGCCTTGGAATGGACTGCTGATTGAGGAACCCGTCGATTCCGTACTTTTTCGGTAGCAACTTTGCGTTTCGGCCCTGGCCGTTGGGCCCGCTTTGCTATGCGGTGGTGAGTTGGGCAAGAGACCAACCTGTCATGATTACGATTGCGTACATATGTACATACGTACACACACACATATATATATATATATCACTTGGTATATGTGGCCACACTACAAATCCACACAGTGGAGAAGTTCATAAACGGGGCAAGGTATATATACACATATTTCTATAAGTATGTTGCATGCAACGTTCGCTGCGTTATTTTTACCAAATGCTGGTTACCGTTATGTGTAAATACTTAGTATATATAAAGGATAGAGCGAAGTAGTTGCTTTGAAGGCAAGCGCAATATGAGTTACAGTTTAAAATGCTGGAAAATAATTACCACGAACACAAATATGATTTYAAGCTGTCGTATGGGTCAGCTTCGCTATTTGCATATTGGGAATTAAGTATCTTCATTTTCATGTTCCTGCTCGCTAATGCAATTAAACTGGTCTCTTTAGTTTAATGGATGTAATTATCACATAACCGAAGTTCACTGCCCCAACTAATATCTTTTTTCTAAGTCAAAGAATAACGTGGTCAATGGTAACGACATTGACGTAGTTCAGCGAACTAAAAGACAGCGGCTACTCAAGCTCTGAAAGTATTCGACGCAGTACCCGCCGAGGGAAGCAGATACCCCCACTCCGTTGGAAAGACCAGGTGGATAAGGACTTGGCTCGCTTGTTGTTAACTCGGCTATAATCGCGTAAGTGGTGTCTACGCTACTAAAGAAGAAGAAGAATAATGCTCAAGAATTCCAAGGGTCTTAATACCATATCCTCTGGGCCTCTTCACGTGCTAATTCACAAGTTTTCATAATTCTCTCCACAGGACTGCCACGCCTTTTGTGCGCTCGACATAATAAAAGAAAAGTGCCCAAGCCTACATACAAATATTATATCCTTCTGCATTTGTACAAGTATTCTCCCTGCACAACAACAACAACAACATCACTTGATAGCGCTGTAGCAAGTAATGAAAGCCGCTTATAGCCGACTAAATATTACAACAATAAACGTGAATATATTTCACATGTAAATGGTCATAATATGACAGCGCCGAGGGGAGTAATCAGCGGAAGTTGAATGAAAAAGCGTGCTGCATGTAGTGCAGAGTCAAATGTATATCCGTTTGTATATGTGTTTCTGTAAGTGTGTAGTTCGGCCAGTCGTACTGCAGCGAGCCGACCGAATATCTAATAAATTATTTATGAAAATTTGAAGTGATTTTGTATATTTGCAAATTACCCCATCCGTGACCTTTTAACTGCCATCTCACCGAAGGTGTCGTGGCAGACACTGATGGTCACGGATAAGCGTCTTATTGCCGATGATATTGCAGGTGTCAAGGTGTCGGCGACGGGACTTGTGAAAGGAAACGCCATACTTTATGAGCATGATGGACATGGCAGTGACTTGTGTGCCTTGTGTGCCTTGTTGTTGCGTGTCAGCGGACGTGTGAAGCCTTAGTAAGTGTCTTACAACTGCGCGTATATATCCCATGACTTCAGTGGGTGGTTAATAGCACAAAGAAAAAGCCTTGGCATCTTGATGCCTACTAAATCATTTTAGCTTACATTTATGTAGCTTACAACAATAACAACTAAAAATCATCTACACTGATAATAAATATTTGCACTAAAAGGGAATAAAAGTTAAGCTTAGTCTTCAGAGAGTCTTGACATTATKTACATATGTATATAATGGCTTGAATTGAACTTGAATTGTATACATATATAGTATAATATTAGACCGCTCTGGTTGTCTGCGTTTTGGATGACAAGACACATGTCTCGAAATATAAGGGGCATGTATTTTTAGCGGGAAAGTGAGTGCGTGCCACAAAATTATTTCTCTGCAAGCATCTTTTAATTTTCACACGCACACATACACATATACATAATATGTATTCACAATAGGTGCTATAGGCTAATTATGGAAACTGTTCGTGCAGTTTTTAAATAAGAAAATGCAATTTTGCAATTTATTTCGTTTATCGTCTTTCGTTTGTATATAGTACATTGTTAGTATGTTGTTGCAACGCGTTACATGTGTCACGCTACTGCGGCATATATCTGGTACCACTCGATTAATCTTGCTTGCCACATATTGTTGCCTAGCTTGTCAAAGTCATATACAAGTATATACCGATATATATATATATATATATGGGAGGATAGTGTCATATGAAAAAGTTCACGAAAATGAGGAAAGTTTTCTGATTTCCATTCGCTTGGAAGTGGCCAGGAACGATTCTTTTACATATGGCTCAAGCAGCTCATGACTTCCGGTCTTTGATCAAGTATYCTCTGGGTCAGCCAAACAACATCCGTTTGAAGGCAAGCTAAAGTGGGAAGGCGAAACTCTCCACAGGGTTGTGCACCGGGTTTGGGACTTGCCAAGAGAGACCCCCCTTTTRATGACGAACATGGCAAAGTCCTCTCTCGACGAACAAAAACCAACTTTTATAAGCCACTCATTATTCTCGGCTTGCTGTATGGAGCAGAGGCATGGACGATGACAATATCTGATGGGTCGGCCTTAGGAGTTTTCAAGAGAAAGGTTCTGCGTTAGCTGTATGAGATATACGACGATATTGGCATAGTCCAGCGARTGAAAAGACTGCGGCTGCGCTATCTAGGTCATGTCGTACGTATGGACGAAAACACTCCAGCTGTGAAAGTAATCGACGCAATACCCGTCGTTGGAAGCAGTGGAAGAGGAAGATCTCCACTCCGTTGGAAAGACCAGGCGGAGGAGGACCTGGCTTCGCTTGGCATTTCCAATTGGGGCSACGTTGCGAAAAGAAGAACCGACTGGTCCGCTGTTGTTAACTMGGGTATAATCGCGTAAGCGGTGTCTACGGCAGTAAAGAAGAAGAAGATATATATATATATATATATATACATACATAGAAGCTACGAGTGGCACTCAAAAGGAGACCACATATGACAGTGGAATTAATAAAACCGGCTTAACGGCGAACACCAAAAAGCGACATTCCGCCGCCGCCACCATTTGGATTGCACGCGATTTGAATACGGCTGCACAGTTGCACGAACATACATACATAGGCACGTGACACATGTTCGTAAAAGTGGTAAATCACTTGCTAATTGGCTTTGTAATGCAGTGTTGATGGCTGTGAATTTTATAAATGTGCCTCACATGACCCAACTTTTTGGAGTGAAAAATTATATTTTACTTACCCACTGCCTGCCGCTGAGCCACCCTGTCCATCCGGCGAGCGCCGTTTTATATCGTCGTCAGCAGCAACATCTCCTTTAGCATCATCGCTGCCAACTCCATTTCGCCCGTTTCCCCTCGCATCAGCGGCATTCGCACGGCCTGCATGATCCGACATTGCTCCGTCAACTGTTTTGTCCGCTGCACCGTCCCCATTGTATGTGTAATTCTGGAAATTTGCATCGTCACAGTCAACTTCTGGCATAACTGATACTGATAAAGCACGTTCACTAACCCGTTCGACGGTGGCGTCTACGACGCCCGCATGTGGCATCGCCATGGCGCCCGTTGTGGCAGCTGCTGCGGCTGCTGCCGCCACAGTGACATGCTCCGTAGCGTGCAAGGATGCGTTCAACACAGAAACATCWGCCTCAATCGGCTGTGTTGGGGGTAACGGAGATGTCTGTGTGGGCGTCGCCGGCATAACACCGTCATTACCATTTTTGTGCGTCATTTTTTTCGTGCCCGCTGTTGAGGTTGGTCCCTCAGCGGTCGCTGTGCGTGAGATCGATTCTCCGGTCGCTCCACTTTCACCGCCATTGGCAGCACCTGCTTTGCCAGCCTGTTTGTTTTCCACAACGGTAGCTACACTCGATGTRGGTGATCCTGCGCTATCTGAAAACCGACCCATATCACTTTCGAGACTTTTCAAATCGGTGAGATTTTCATGAATGGTTTTATGAATTTCATCTGTCGCGACGGTAACAGTCTTTTGAATATTTTCCAGCGTCTTCTGTGATTTCTCTAATATTGCTGCAGGTAGACCAGTCATATCTTCAGGTGTCTTCAGTTGCGTACGACTATTGCTTTTTTTTAAATATCCTGGTTTTGCTAAAAAAAATAATTTAGGGAGTTAGTAAGTTTGAATTATTGGGAATATATGATACATTTCTCACTAACCGTTCTTTTTCAAGCCGTCAGTTGTCTCCTCAGCTACCGCCGGGACCGTGGTCTTCTTGCTGAGGTTGCTGTCGGAGCGCTTCATGCTGAGCAGACTCATTCGGGAAGCCATGCGTACAAGTGAGACATTGGAAGGATGTCTTTTGATACCTGAGGTGGATCCGCTGCTTCCCGTGCTACCAGAACTAATGTTCGGTTCGCCTTTTGCAGAAGTAGCAGCGACAGCAGCTACCCCTGCAGGTATTGCCGCTATTTTTGTTGCTTCGATTCCCACAGGGCTACCACTTTTCAGATTGCTAGCATCTTCTTTGCTGGAAGATCTTTTTTCAGCTTCTTGCTTTGTCATTTCGGCGTTATTGTCACTCTTCCTTCCTTTCGCTGTTTCAGCTTTAACCACTTTTCCTTTGGTWGTTACCGATTGGCCCTTGGCAGGAAGCTTCATTGCATTTTTTGATGTAGTATGACGTTTTAGTCCACTTGCCGCCAAAGCCACAGCCGCTGCAGYTGAGTTAGCAGGCGCTTTCATTRTGGTTAATGTAGCAGCCGTACCTTCGCGCTTTATATTTTTTCCTGTGCCAGCTTTTGGCGTTTCTTTCTTTTGTACATTCGAACGTTCCCGTATAAGGTTTACCCTTTCGGGTTTTTGAAGATTACTTGGTTGTTTTTTACCAGACGCCGCCGATTTGTCCACCGACGTTGGTTTGCGTTTCACATTTGACTCGGTTTTATGTATCGATGACGGTAGTTTTTTGGCACTTTTTGGTTTACTCCGTTGATTTAATGGAGTTCGCGCGGGTGATGTTCGACCTACGATTTTTGCACCCTTTGATTTCGAGAGTGAACGGCTGTTTAGCTCCTTCGGAACCCCTGATGGCGAYTGCTTCGCTTTTGTTACACTACTAGCCCGTAATGGTATACGAGATCGCGAACTATGTCGCGATTCAGATCGATCCCTAATTTTCTTCCCTCTTCCACGGCTTCCTGATCTCTTTTTGTGAGGTGGACTGAGTGACTGTCGCCGTGTACGTACTCTTCTGTTTGAGGCTGGGCTGACAGAAATTGATGTTCGCCGCCGAGTGGTTACTGGTGAAGGTTCAGTGCTTCTTTTTCCAGAAATTGGGGAAACATTACCAKTAATTGATGCTGTTGAATGTATGCTCATTCTTGAGTTAGATCGGGAATTTGCTATTTCTTTAGCCATTTCCATTCGCGAATTCGGTCGTGTACTAGCACGTGACGCTGCTCGCGATATCGGATGGGTAGATGCACGAGAAGTAGAACGTGATGCCGGTCTGGAGTTGCCACGTGAAACTGATTGAGAAGCATCGGTCCTTACTGTAGCACGAGAAGTTGTGCGACTAGATGTTCCTCTCGAATTTATATCAGATATTGGCAATTGAGACATAAACTCTTTCAATGGCGATGAAGAACGCGAAATTGGTCGCGAATTTGAAGAGCGCAAAGGWATCTTTGAAAGTGATTCCCGCCGAGATGTCATATCCGATAATGCCTCTGACGGTGCTAATGAACCAGCAATATTTTGTTCAGGACTTTGCGGTGAGCTACTATCTTTGTTCGGTGTACCAATTATGGGTGAAAGCGTAGAAGGCTTAGCAACTTTTGTGCGGGATGTTCGGCCACCAGTCAAACTTGCTGGTGGTATTAAAGATTGTCGACGTTTTGTTTTGGGGCTTATAGCTGGTAATACCGATTTTCTACGTTGCTGATGTAGCGGCAATGGAGAACGACGRAAACTAAAATCGGATGTGGTAATTGAACTTATATTAGAACTCCGCCGATCTGAAGCTGTTTGTGTCGAACTTCGACGCTCAGGCGATGTTGAGCTTGAACGTCGACGACTCTGTAAAATGTGTGTAGGTGTTGCATGAGGAGTTTTAAGCTGCCTACCAAGAGGCAGGTCCTCCATACTAGTCCAGTTTGAACGTAATGGTAAATTCGAAGTGTTTCCATTTAATATGCGGAGCAAACCCTTTTGTTTCCGAGTGGGATTGGGGTTGGGCTTAATGGGGCGAGGCAATGCGCCTGGTGGAAATACTGCTGGCTCTATATGTAAATCTGTGACGGAGCGATTGAAGCGTGGAATAGCTGTACGGTATGGATCGTTGATAAAAGGTAGAGTTTCACAACTTTTTATTTTTGATTCATTTGCTAGTTTGGCAAATGTTGGCAGTGTCGAAGGGCGACGCAATTTTGTTTTGGGTCCCGCTGACGGGGATGATGGTGTAATATCTTGCGATGATGACAGTGACTCACGATGTTGCAGTATGCCACGTTGAGTCATCATGTTTGGCGTATGTCGCCCAGTCATGTTAAATTGTACAGAAGGGCGAGGAGAGTCATCGGCGGGAGCTTGAAGTTTCTGTTGTGACAACTGTGGCAACTTGAGTTGAGAGGCTGATAAGGATTTATGTTGCAAATACTGTCGTGGTTTAGCAACAGGTTTCACTGGCGATATGGCGGACATTTTTTGCTGTGACGGTTGCTGGTGACTGTGCGGAGATGGACTATGAGTGCGTGATGAATGTGGTGATTTTTCTGTAATAATTGTAAATGATGTCTTCTTGTGAAGGCGTGTCTGGTCAACCCTGGAAGAAGCAAAATGAAAATATTAAATATTCTACGAATAGTTTTCCGAATTAATATTTCTTCATTACCTAAATTCCCCCCCAGTAGCTATTAAGTTCCGCAATATCACGGGTGACATCTCGCGTTTGATGAAACTTTGACTTTCGTCTGGCATTGCGGTTAGAAGATCCGGCGTTGGTGGAGCAGCTGGAGGAGGTGGTCTCACCTGATTTAAACTGCCTATAGGACTTTCGTTTTCCTGTTGCAAATACTCTTGAGGAGAGAGCAATAATTCTGTTTCGATTTCACGGAGCAGCGTTGGAGAGGGGTCTGGTGGTCTACCTGGTGGTTGGAAACTAGTCAAAGCCACCGTTGAGTTGTCTGAAATATGTGCCCTTTCCAACCGTTCCTCTCCACTACTAGAACCGTTTGAATCATTTATCATTGCTGCAACCGGAGAGTGGTGCATTGACATGTCTTCTCTTTTAATCGACATAACGTTCTTAGAACTTGGACGCAGTCTTGGTATTTTACTGAATTCAGGGTAGTCTTGAGTTGCTGGACGAAACCATTCGTTGCTTGTATAAGATTCGTTCGGAAATTGATGAGGAAACGGATTGCTTACAGAAGAAGGCGAATTTTCAATATGTGGCTCTTCAACGTTGCTATAAAGAGAGAAGATTTGTTAACATTTTCCAATAACATTTCGACATATTATATATTGTTAACCTCAATGTTCCAACATTCGATTTGAAATCTTCACTAAAATTAGATACACGCCTTGTTGCCTCTGAGTACTCGCGGACACCTTTTGTATCTCGGATTTCATAAGACTCTACTATTTCCGTAACATCTGTCGGTTGCCTGTCATCGTATATTTTGTGATGGCGTTTTGTTGTGTCGGGTGCGAGTAATGTGTAATTTGGTGACTCCCGTGCTTCAGAGCTTGAATCGCCACTGGAATTCGGTAATATTTGAATATCTGGTGGTTGAAGACGCGGCATGGGAGTGGGAAGCACGTCGAAGTTTCGGGGAGCTGCATTGTCTGACATGTGTCTACTAAAGGCGGAGCTGAAAGGCACATTAGAAAATAGGCGTGTGGGAGCGGGCCTTTCAACTTCTAATGAAGCGAGACGGGCACTAGTGTCCTCCTCAGAGCCAGAGCTGATGTTCAACGACACTGGATGGAAAACATTCACAGGATTGAATTGTGTAGTGAGAAAATCGGGCGGAGGTGGCGGTGGAACAGGATCACCGAAAAGACTGTTATACTGATTATCCATCTCAACGTCAACTGAGCCACTGCCGGAATGACGTGTACTGCTGGGTCGGGAATGTGTGTGCAAATGATAAGCACCGCTTGTGGTGGAAGTKGCCGCAGAGGTAATGCGCCCGTTGGGAAATTGTGATATTGAGGATGGTGACATTATATGATAATTGTAGTCTAGAGGAATGATTGCTGGTGTGAGTGTTGGTGTGCTGTGCGTGTTTGAGGAGGAGTTCGATGCGGATCTTGATGGATACGCTGATTGGTGTGGGGGAGTGTTAGATGAGGATGAAGATGATGGTTTATAGTTCATATTAACATCGAGCGTTGATGGCTTTTGGTGTAAAGGACGACTGCTGTTTCAATAAAGCTAATGTATGTGTGAATCTCGAGATGAGATGGCGCTGCTAATCTGCAAGTAAAGTGAAAAGAGTRAATTAAATTGAAATACATTATGCTCAACTCATCACCTGTACACATAGCCTGCGTTCGCAATGCGTAGAGGTCGACCTGGTAGTTTTTTAGGCGCGTTAAGACAAAATACGTCCGCATTTATCTGCATTTGTGTAAGTAAGTTGCGATACACCTTGCTATATGTGAAGTTCGATGTTGGATGTTCGAGTTTGCAGTTACAACGTCTTGCTTCAAACATGCATGATGTGCGCTCGCAGACTTCAAAGCAAAACGTTTTATTCGAGATTTCTGCTTGGAGATTTGTGCATGCATGTATTAGCCACTTGTAGCCCGTTTGAGTTGCATGTAGACTCTATTAATTTTGTATTTGTTTATGTAAATGCCCTTCATTATTTCTACGATACTGGAAGATACATTCACAGTGCATGGAAGATTGTTYCGGAAGTTACTTCGTGATTTGGTAGCCGCCTAAAATTTGCATCTACAAAAAGTTTATAAAAAAAGTAATACAAAATTAAAAATTCTGGAGGAGAAGTAATCAATTACAACGCTTCACATAGATTTCGCCAGACACTTTTCTCTACTATTTTGTCGAAAGCGCACTTTAAAATCGGAAGGCTGACGMGTGACACAAAAGGGCGGTTGCGGGCGCCAAAGCTGTCGCTCATCTTTAATACTTTAGTCGAGCAGTGGGATATGGCAACGCGCAAATACCGCACTGGACACTTTACTACACCGACGTGCCAATGGCAAGTGTTGCAGACGCTCGTCACTTGTCTGCTTCGACGTTTCACTTCGTTGGCGGTAACTATGTGCGCTTTGTACATCGCATGTTGCACGTGCCAGCAATGCTGCAGTTGCACGTATGAGTGTATGTGTGCGCGGCGTCGAATCTTTAAAATTTCACGCTTCGTTTCATGTTTTCCACGGGCGCAAGCAAGCATTCATTATTTCGATTAGATATAATTTCTTTTCGTCTTGTTTATATTACCGTTGTTGGTGGCTGGCTGTTGGAATTCAGGCATCGCTGTGTGAAAGAGAGCATCAAATTTAAGCAGCCTTCACAACATGCACGAGATGCCCCCGCGATTATAAATTATCAAACAACAGGTAAGTAATTAAWACACACACTCGCTCGCTACTTAGTTTCGTACATATGTATGCAATCATATGCAATCAACAAATAAGTATTTACTGCAAAGTCGTTTTTGTCTTTTTTCAATGCACTAGAACTTCAGGGATGAGGCTATCGGATAATAGCCGATGCAGCTGATGTTCCTCTCATGGTTAGGGATAAATTCCTTGGAATTTAGTAACTGGAGAAGAGGCACAGTCAATTTTTTCACAGATGGATCGAAGTTGAATTGGAAGAGGGGAAGATGGGAGATGGGTTCTACTGCAGTGAGCTCTCTATCAACTCTTGAAGTATCTCTCAAGCAGACAGCAAAAAGTGCATGATCTCGCTAGCTGCGACTTTAAGTTAATTCCGTATTTAATTTGTCTGGATGCCTGGCAATAGCGGAATTGTCGACTAAGGTTAAAGCATACTTTCTACGAACCCGACGAATTAGCTAAAGTAGATATTAGCTTAATGTGCTTTATAATTATGTGTCTTTTACATTCGTACTTACAGTCTGGGCTTGACAACGTATAAAAGTCTCTAGCAGTTCACGTGGGATTATACGTCTTCTTCTTTACTGGCGTAGAAACCGTTTACGGGATTATATGTGGTCTCGCGATTAACAGCCTATGTACATAACCTAACCTTAGTTTAAAGAGACTTAGCGCTTCAGTGCCCTAAAATAAGTATAAAGTTATTATTGAAAATAATTTGGCATTGATTTTTGCCTTCTTTCGCTTATTAAGCATTTAGCCTACTTTTGTGAGCCATACCCCCGCTGGTCAGCGCATTTTTTGGTTACGCTTATAAAACATGGGCTCTACTTCGACCGAAAAGCTGTTGCTAAATATAAATTTAGACTTCCTTTTTGTTTTGTACAGTGTTCTGGCATTGTCACCGACCCCGCCGCCACCCWCAGGCTTGCATTTCTTTGTTTACTCTTTTCTTTCTTGTTTTCATGCGGGTTTTATGGCTCACTTATACTTATTCGCACTTCTTTTTGCCACATTCGAGCTAACGGTTTTTCCGAAAGCGGCGCACACCGTGTTCTTGTCGATGTAAAGATAAGAAATAAATAAAGGAATCTGGGTCAGAACATTTATGCTTTTATGCCGAATGACTTCAGTTGCTTGGCATGTCCTTTGACCCAAATGACAGACTGAGTAAATTAGCTTTGTGACACCTGGTAATAGAACAAAGTGTTGAGGTGTACAGAAGCTTACGCACCCAAATGAGTGGAAGTGGACGCGCTAGGCGCTTGAGTGAGCGTCTCACAATGAATTGCAAACAACACAAAGACATTGAGAGCCGCCATTGGTAGTTGGAGACAGGCGGGTGTTTGCTGTTGAACGCATGGCGTGCGATGATGGCAACCTTTGCGGRTGTCTGCAAGTGGTTTTTCTCGCCGTAAATTATGAGACTCCCGGTGCACGTGAACACTGCGAAGCTACTGCCTTGCTTTTACAACGTTTTCCACATGTCTTCCTATAAATCACAGAACATGTTTTCGCAGATTAAATGCAAATTTTCCGCAATCATTTCGCTGCACTTCCTGTCAAATAAATTGCCAACTACACAAGTGCCAAAAACAAAATGTCGCTTCAGCCGCAATTAAGCTGTGCAAAAATACGTTGGCATTGCGGCTACCAAACCTTTGTATAATCGTGTGAGTGAGGGCTGCATGGCGCAGAGTGAAAGTGAGCCAAATAAATCATGTTGCAAAAATAAAATGTTGCACTGTTGCAGAGTTGCAAATAACGGTTATTTTTATTGAAGCGTCGCTGCGACTTTAAGACACACACTCACATAAACACGCTCAAGCTAAACGAAAACTTGAACCGGGAGCTCCAGTGGTTGAGCGACGATAAATTTTACTTGTTGTTTAGGGGCTTCTAGAAAGCCTTCGAAAAGCCTATTTATGTCGAGGCGAAAGAATTTCAGTACGCTTAGGTGTACCGTGTTTACTAAAAAGTGAAATACAGCTTAAAAGATGCACAAAATGGTTTTCAGCTTGGTCTCATAATTTTCACATGTATCGGCAGAGTGTCGTTGCAGTTTGTGTATTGACTGCCCCTTTTTTAACAAAAATTGTAACGCTGCACATCCTTTTCAAAAAATATCATTTCATTGAATCATTAAATTCACCCCACGCAATCACAAGTGCCACTAATACCGTTAATAATAATATTTGATTTTTATTTGTGCGTTGAAAACGGCAAAGTTGTACGATTTCGCGTAGAAGCAAACCTTAAGTGCTTCAAATTGGTGAGTTTAATTTAATTTTGACTTTTCAATTTCAATTTAAAGTGTTTTTCACACGCGAGACACTAACAATACCATGAGAAAGGCAAGAGAAGCGAAGCGCCTTCACCGACTCGCGACTATCCAACAAGCGCGGCGCCAACAATACAACGTCTTTAAGAACGAAACTTTTGTCAGCGCAGTAAGACGGCCTACTAACTTCACTGAAATAACTTGGTTAGTTGGCGGCTTTGCTAACTCGTTAAATGCCCCGCGGGCCGCCTGAAKCGGGAGAAGTTCTTGTTCGGATTCTCCCATTGAAGTAATTTCTCACCCAAGCAAAACAACCAAAGTGTGCAGTAGCGATTCTTATCGAACGCGCACACACACCCCTGCACGTTTAGTAGTTTTGCAACACAAACCACTGGAACACACCTACACATTCACGCAGCGCCATAATTGCTAACTTCGCGCTCTCTTAATACTTGGTATGGCAACGCATTTGTAAGTCTACTAGCTTCATGCGCGCGTGTATGTGTTTGTGGCACTGACTATTTTGCTTTCTGTTTTTATTTTGCTCTACGCGGCGAAATAACCTGTTGTTGTCGCTTTAAACTCGCGAAATTCGCCACTTTTCAGATTTTCCGCGCGACGTGTCCCTCGCTCTATTGTAGAGTAGTCCGCTATGCAACTTTTCTGTGAAATTAAATTATTGTTGTATTAGGGGTTATTGTGCATTGCACTATATTTCATTAAACCCCATTTTGTGTCTTCTGTGCGTCGTAAACAAATTGTTGCCACGAAGAGGGCAGAGGAGAGCGGGTGACCGCTTTGAAAATAACAAATGATTTATTTCATTAGTTCTCTTACAATCGGAGTTTGTGTCAATGGGCTGGGATTTCAAATATTCTACCCCGTTTACCGGCCTTTTCAGGCAAGGAAACAAAAAAGTCCGGGAGGGCCACATCTCGGCTGTAGGGAGGCTGCGGAAGCTTTTGGATGCCGGCCTTGTTTAGGTAGCTTCACAAGAAAGGCGCTGTGAGCCGGGACGTTCTCGTGGTGCAACTTCCAATTGGCTGCAATGTCTTGTCGGGCCCGATTGACCCTTCTTTTGAGTCTCTTGAGGACTTACCCGTCAAACTTGGCGTTGACGGTTTGTCCAGGAGGATCAAATTCATGGTGGACGAAGTCTTTCATGTCAAAAAAGACAATGTGCATCGTTTTCACTTTGGATTTGCTTCCGGTATTCATAAGCGACCTACCAAAACACACCACTCCTTTATAAAACAAGACCTGGACAAGCCTTCTTGATCTTATCAATCTCAACAGAAGAGGACACACATCATCAACAACAACAACGCTTTAACAAAGTCTCCACTACATAACATGCGCCTTAAACATAAACAACTTTGCGCTGTCTCGTTCATCGGCAAAGTTGATTGAATTTCCTTGGCTTTGGCCGAGGGGTCAAAGCAATAAATATATTAGAACAACAACAATAGCGAAACTAATAACAAAACAAAAGTGTAACGACACTGCAATAGAATGCAAATGAATTGCACGCAAAGAGGAAAYATAGCCTAGAGCAAAGCACCGACTGTAAGCTGGCTCTCCACCAGGGCACTGAGATTCCTGTCAGACCCACTGCACTGTGAGTGGTGGTAGGTTGGACGAAGTGCATTACTTGTGAATATGTGTGGAAATCCTTGGCTAATGGCCACGCGMGGCACTGGGTTACTAGACAAGCCAGCGAGTCAGTCGGTCAGTATACCGTGTATACGAGCCGATATGTGAGTGAACAAGAGTTTGTGTTGGCAAATCTATACCTGCATTCGGCGTCTGCTGGCACTCAATACAGAGGCATACGTCGATTGAATGTCGAKTGCGAGGACGAGCCATTGCGGTCAGCGTCCGAAGCGTCCCACCTGAAGAAAACATACTATGTAGTTGAGTGCATAGCATAAGCAATAGGTAGGTAGGTAAACCGCTGCCATGTGGTTACGCCGTAGAGCCGTAGCTGACTGTTGATGTTGGGCTTTGTATGGGGCATTCACCAGCAAGATATTTATGTAAACATAAAGCTTTCGAAATGCAATCGCTTGCTCTGCGACCGAGTGGGTGGCACGATTTAGTATGGGGGAAGTCCGCACGCTTATGTTCGTGATATTGCTTATATGTATGCATGTGTGTGTATCGGTTTTGTCATGCACTGCATTTTCACTGGGATTTTCCTCTACGCGAGCAAATTTTTGACGATTCATTACACGTAAAACGTTGAAATTTTCATATGCCGAGTTAAATGACCGATTTAATGAGGAGTTGTAAGGCAAAAGTGCTTAGTCTTAAGTATTTTCAGCAGAATTTAAGAAAATTTCACCCCGATAACCAACTACCGTAATAATTTTTACACGGCACTTATAGTACTTGTATTGTATATAATATATGCATAATGCATATATGTATATATTCATATATAGTATTCACATATATAGCTTCGCTGCCATAAATTTATCTATTCCATTTTCTTCTTGATCACTTAAATTTGGAAAAAACCATAGGTGGGTTTTAGGTTTGGAAGATTTTCGAATATATTTGACGCTTTAGATGCGCACAACAGGAATTCCTTTCGCAATAAAGCAAGTGTTAATTGTAAGATTTGCACATTCACAATATATATARATATAGACATATATATTGGAATAAATTTTTGCGAGCGTACCGCAGTTTCAAGCCGTTTTCCTTTTCAGCATTGATCCGCTGCACTTGCCGTCCGTTAAGAAACTGAAAAGCAGTTTTGCTCTCGCTAGCCAACTTGAATTTCCTTGCCACTTTACTTTCAGTGCCTGTTAATTTTTATTTTCCTTCTTTATTTTGTGAAATTTGCCTTTTTCCCAAAGAACACAAAGTTGAGTGGTTTTCTCTTGGACACATTTCTGCGATACACGTGTGTATGTATGCGACCGAGCATGTGTGTTTGTATGTGTTAGAGAGTGTATGTCATAGGGTGCACAACTTTCTCCAAGAACCGTTTTTGCTTTAGTTGTTGCGATTGGCAAACTCGCATTGCTGGCTTGTGAATTGGCTTGGCCTGCGATGGACTCGACCGGTCGCCACTGCGGACGAAGTACGAAAACGTGGGTCAGTAAACCTACTTCCGGTTGACATAAATTCGCCTTGGACATGAAAACGTCGCTGGCGGCTACTACAATGCAGACTACACCGCCACTATACCTAACACAAGTGACAACTAAAACAACAACAAAGGATAACTAAAAGTAGTACCGTTACTACAAATACCATTCCGAACTCAATGATCAACTCGACTGTTGGCGGCAACAAGCACACGTRTAGGCGAGAGACCCAGAAGTGAAGGCTGGAATACTTGGCATCCAGAGCTGCCGCAGTGCTCCGATTAGGGTGTTGTGCTACAAAAAGCCGAGAGTTTAAGTCTCCTCTGTGCGTTGACTGTRAAACCGATTACATTGTCATTTGCGCAAAAGTAATCGTCGCCAAGTAAGGTGAGCATTTAGTGAATAAAACACATTTATTGGAAATTTCGCAAGAAGCTCCTTGCGCGCAGGATCACTTTATAACTGTAGATCTGCTTTAAATCGCTGGCAACAAAAGTCTTCACACGGGGAAACTCAGAAATGTCATATCATCAGGTTTCCACCTGTAACTATGCGTATGCTCAAATGTGTCACGTATAACTGTAAGTACATAACGATAAATAGTACTTGAACATGTGCGCCTTGCGTCCCCCTCGAAACACTTCCATCACTCGCACTTTTGACAACAAAATCTTCGCCCGCTGACACGCGTTATATTTGCCACGTTTCCTGTGCTTGCTGCCTTCGCTCCCACGCACCGGRCATTTCGCGTTTTGAGTGGCCGTCGAGGAWGTTAATGCAGTCAGCTGGAAAATTGGTGAATTACCTAGCTTGTCGCCAACAAATACCTCATCACATAACGATTGARGGCGAACCGTTAGCCGGAGCGCGCTGGGAAAACCGAAATGAATAATGGACATCAGCAAACCTTTTTTGGCGAAGAAGTTAAGTGTGTGAGGAKTATGTGGWGTTAGTAATGTGCCGAGGCAAAGCGAGAGCTTCTAAAGCCATGGAAATATGAGTACGTATTTCGTGACACAATGCGAATTGTGTATATACTTCCGCGCACACGCMACATAACTGTACTATTTGAACAAAAATTAATGAATTGTAAGATACATTTTTGGTGGTGTTAATAATTACCGTTATTGTTATTAACCTGCCAGATTATACAACAAAACAGTCGCAGAATAAATGGGATGTGGCCTGTTGGAAAAGGTKCACTACGCTTGAAAATTATCTTATGAAGAGAAATACAGAAATAAGTATTACTTTTTCAATAATCGAACCAAGTATTGTTAGGGTCTTTAACCACTGGACTTCAATGGTGCCTCAACTTCCTTTTCCAGTCATATACATCTTTAATACTACACCAGTAGCGACGAGAAGCGTCTTCTAAGATAAATTTTGATGCCTTCATATTCTTCTTATTCTTTACTGGCGTAGCCCACGGCGGGTACTAATACTTTCCGAGCTGGAGTGTTTTCGTCCATCTCGACGACATGACCTAGCGAGCGCARACGTTGCCTTTTAATTCGCTGAACTATGTATGTCTTCATATTACGATTCCCAATTAGCTTGAGAGTGTGATATTGCCTGCCAAGATTTTATGACTTATCTCAAAAAAGTTATGGAATGTTCTGACATATCCTTACAGAGCACCGCCGCCGACAGTCGTAGAAAAAAACCACATTATTTCACTTAATTTTTCCTACAGTGAGTGTTGGTATTTGGGTTTCGGCATT